GAGCAGCTGGGTGGGAAGGAGGGAGGCAGATCAGAGGAGAAATTTGCATGCAAGAAGCCCAGCTCTTGGGAGACCTCCGAGGCACCGGGCCGTTCAGCTTGTTGGCCGCGGCATAAAGCGGCCGGGCGGCCCCGTCGCCCCGCGCACGGCCCACGGGAGTGTTCTGTTGACACGCGGCAGGGAAAAAAGGGGAGCAAGATGAAAGGCGCCCACTGGACAGGCCTGGGAAACATGTTTATTTTAAACATTTCTAATTACGCTTAAGAGGCCTTTCGGCTCCAGAGGAGCTGGGATGGAAGCAGAAGTTTCTAGCTGGGGTTGGGTGGGCAAGTCCCAACCACAGCTGCCGAGCGCCCGGGGCGAGCGGTCCTCCTCACCCCATGCAGAAGTTACTGCTTGCAAAGGGCAAGCGGGGGATTTGGCTTCAAAACCTTCTGCCCAGCGAGGAGCCAGAGCTGCTGGAGCCTCCTGTGTGCAAGGACACCTGCCATCTCCCTTGCTATGCGCTCCTTTCCTCCCTTCCATAATGCGGGTCCTGACCCGAGCTTCAAGGTGGACCACTAGTCCCAGTTGTCTCGTGCAGATTTACTGGTCTTGCTGACGAATCTTTGAAAAGCAGAACTAAATGCAATGACCGCAAGAACTCAGCAGCCTCCTTGGCATGATGCTGTGGGGCTTATTGCGTCTCCTTGCTTGCTCCCTTTGCACTCGCAGTCTCCCAGCTCTTCTACGGCTCCTCCATAGCTCCCAGGCCCAATTCCATCTTTTTTCCTTGCTCTATTCCCACAGCGTTAAAAGCAATTGGTCTCCAGGTGGTAAAACCAGTAAAATACTTTGGCTCAGAAGGCACCAAATGCAACGGCTAAAGCAGGTGGGGACATCCCCACACTCAACCGAGAGATCCTTCAGGGACCACCATCAGCACCAACAACACAGACACCACAGCTGTCCGTGGTTCCTGGGTCACAGAGTGCCAGGATGGTTGAGGTTGGAAGGGACCTCTAGAGATCACCTAGTCCAACCCTCTGCTCCAGCAGGGACACCCAGAGCACGGAGCACAGGGTGGCATCCAGACAGGTTCTCTGTCTCTAGTCTGATGTTCCTCTCAGGAAGGGCACGTCCATCTTCTCCTCGCAATGCCAGCAAAGCAGACCATGTTTTCCAGTGAAGTGGAATTTACGATCAAACTCTTTTTCTGCTTCTCTTGGGTACTGGGCAGTAGCTGAACACAGTCCCCAGCAAAATACAGGTGATAAAGATTTGTGCAACTGAGCGTTTGCCAGAAATGTCCTCAGTTTACCACCCTGGCAAAATCCTTTCAAAGGAGGTGGCAACATTTTCATAGGCTCTGATCTTCTGCAAGGCTTTTAAGCCCACACAGACACACCAAATACCCTGGCTTATTCTGCAAAACTAACCTCTAAGACATTCACAACTCTTTACCTGTTCGCCTAGGCAAAGCACTGTCAGACACAACTGCACAAACCTGAGAGCACTTAAGTGCACTGGAAATCAAAGAAAGGCCAAATTTGGGAAGGAAAAAAGGAAATGAGCTCGTACTAAATGTCACCCCAGATTCAAAAACTGAGGATTTGTTGTTTTTTCTTTCCCCAGCGGAAAACAGACAAAAATAAATGGACATACCTAATCCCTCAGACTTTAGGAGCTGCTCAATTTTCCTAGCAAAAACTCTACTACCACTGTTCAAAAAAAATGAAAAAAGGACAGAAAAGCTTTGATATTTTTGAAAGCTGGCAACAAAATTAGAGCTGGAGCCTCCTCAAGAGCAGCAGAACAGCGACTCCCCTGACAGTTGCACTTCAGCCTAATCATTTTGCTTTGAATTCATAGCACAGAGACCGTATTCATCTTCTCCTCGGCTTCCCTGTTTCGCTAACACTGGCGTCCCGAGCCTCGTCCCCGCTGCACGTCTGGCGCGTTGCTGGTACTGGGAGCCCAGGCAGAGCCCAGGTCCCCCTGCCGCTGAACCCTCTCCCGTCGGAAAGACGCTTTCACGTTGGGTTAAGTACAGATTCTGGTAAATTTAACCCATGGGAGACAGGTTTGCAGTGTAAGATCCACTGTAGTCTCAGAGCTAAGGGATGCACTGATCCAGGCTGGGGCAAATTTGTGGTGCAGTGGCTTGGACTTGATCCTTGCTGCTTTTTGATGTAAAGATACGACACAGACCATATATTTGCCTTGTTTCAGCAAGGAATCAGCAATGCAACGCTAGGAATTCAAGAGAGGTGTTTTACAGACTAGCTCCTGGGCTCGTTACTTTAAGAGCACAGATGCCCGGAGCAGGTAAACATGCAGCTGTGGGATCAGGGGTGTCCAAAGGAGCAGGCTGGGTCTCCCCGCACGTTCCTGCGGTGCAGAATGACCTCAGTGGCCACAAACAGCCCTGCTCCCGCCCAGCTCCAGCAATCCCCATCAGGGAGCTCTGGTGCTGGCAGCTGTGAAGCGTTTTACCCGGCGCTGAACAGACATGGGCACAGATCATGCTCTAGCCTTGCTACCTGGGTCTGGGCGTTCTGCGAGTGCTCTAGCGTGCGCCACAGCTAAACTTTGCGGGGAAAAAGCCCTGAATCTCCTCAGGAGGTCAAGGGGATGCTCAAAACAGCGCAACGCCGGAGCTGGCAAGAGCATCCCGCAGACTATCTGATCTCATCCTGGCTGGCGTTAGAGACAACAGGAAAACAGCTCTGTCTGGAAAGACAGAGGGTTCCTTCCCAGCGGCCAGCGTGCTTTGTGCATAATTACTAGCGGGAGCAAGAAAAGGTGAAGGCTGATGGCACCTACCAAAGCCCATTTATCCGGGAAGGTCCAGCGGGCTCCCTGGGGTCCCTGCTCCAGCTCCCTCACATTGAAGGTATCTATTATATCATTGAGGGAATGATTCCTATAGCCGGGTCAATGCACAGACTGCCAGAAGTTTGACGAGTTTCAGCTCTGATTTGCACCTGCTGATATCCCGAGCGCCAAAGCACTCTGCCAAAAACGAGGCTGGCTGCAACGGCGCCGTTCCTCTTCGGGGACTGCAGACGCCGCTGCTCTGCCGTGTGTTCTCCCTGAAAACTCCATGCGGACAGAGCCCAGCAGGTCTTTTCTGGGTAGCAACACAAAAACGGAGCAAATTTGTGCATGAGGGAAAAGAAAAAACAAACCCCAAAACTTGGTCAAGCGAAAACCTCGAGACCTTGGGTCTCATCATATCCCCTCCAGCCTGCTCTTTCGTGCAGCTCCGTGTTAGCGCAGAAGGTTGGGACGGCTGTGCTGAATCCCAATAGGATGCCTAAAATTGTGGGGAATTGCCATTCTTGGATGGATATCCACCCTCCAGGATAAAAAAAAAAAAAAAACAGCTAAATTAGACGATAGCAGACCCAGTCTGGGCAGGAATTTGGACTAGAGACTTGGAGAGGTTCTCCCAAATCCTGTCACTCACTAGAATAGTGAATAATAGAATAGTTTCTGTGAGGAAAACATCTAGTCTCCAAACCACAAAGGGTATCTGCAAGCCCTCCCCTTCTGCCTGAAGATCAAGATCCAGTATGTTTAACTTGAACATCAGGCAGCTCTCAGGCTTCCTACAAGAGCTTCAGACCTTCATTAAGCTGCATCACCTCCTCCCTTACTCCGGTTATTCGGGGACCTCCTGCCTCAGTGAGGAATACGTACATGAGGTGGGATAAGTCTGGACCATAACGTCTCCAAAATTCAAGCAACGGTCTTTCAAGCAGAGACCTGGGGTCACTGCTTGGCACTTCTTGCTGAGCTGTGTGAACAGGAACAGCAATGACTGCTGTCCTTGAACACTTTCAGATCATTTTTTAACTTGTCTACTGACTTTCTTTTCCAAGGTCTGTCATTTCCTTCCCAGGCTTGTTAGCAACATTCCATATTTCCCGGGGAAGTATCAGCCTCAGCAATCTTGGCGTGTCAGAGGGGCTAAACACAGGAAACAACGTGTGCCACCTGCAGCCGTGTTGTCCCTCTCAGGCCTCCGAGCTACACAGCATGAAGGCTGGATTCAAAACACGATGCAATTTCCTTGCCCTCATGATACTTAACTATTTGAGTGAACTGAGCAGAGCTTTTGAGACTCTAATTCCCTATTAGTAGGATTCTAAGTCTGCCTTATTGTCCCTGACAGGGTTCCACACAAGGTCATCGGAAGGATGAGAAATCATACCCCAAGAGGAAAAGCTTGGGATGACTCCGTCAGCCACGACAAAACAACTCTGCAACTGGCCTGTAACTTCAGTGAACCCTCGCCAAGAAGCCCAGCATGAACGATTTGCACCTCACGCTCCTTTCGGCTTAACGGCTGTTTCCACCTGCTCCCATTCCAGATGTGACTCCCAGCTGTGCCACCAAACGAGCCGTTCTCCAAGAGCCGAACGTTGGCGTGCGCTGCCTGGGGCCGCCTCGCTGCCACTTTCATCACCAAGGACAGCAGCAACTCTGAATGCTCCCACTCTTGGGCTTCCCAAGGGCATTGCTCCGCTCAATTCGCAGCCTTCCCGGGCCAACCGGATGTCAAGCGCCTGAACCCCCAACTGCTCCAACGACTGAAAAAGCCCTGGTGCTCCCACCAGCAAAGGATTAATCCTTAGTTTAAGTTCACTGGCATCCTACCAGGCTGGCCTTAAATGCACCAAGACATGGGACTTCATCCACTTAGAGAGGAGGTAGCAGTTTGATAAACCACATTAACAGATTTCTCCTGACTTAAAAACTTTTCCTCTCAACGTTTACATCATCCAGTTCTACTCAGATTCCAACTTGACGTTTGCCGCAGCGAATAGCTCCACAGCCTCCTAATTTGGAGATAATCCATTTCAAAGCAATAAGGAGATTTTGAGAGTGAGACGGAACAAGAACTACTCAAAGAAGGTTTTTTTTCCTTTCCAGAAAAGTGCTCAGATACACTCGGATCAATGATTTTTTTCCCAAATGTGCTCTTCCTCCTCATTTTTCTTTTAACTTCTGCTCGATTTCCATTTTGATGCAGAAGTCTCCCATGCAGCTGGTATTGGTGCCACGTGAGGGGCTCTGCGCTGCCCCTGAGCTTGGTCTAAGGAAGGATCAAGAGGATGAAGAGGGAAGAAGTCACATGCGATGAAGGGACTAGTGTACATTAAAAGCATTGCAAAACCAAGATGAGATGTTCTACTACAGCCTTCATTCTCTAGAAGGAGCTAGGGCCGGCAGCAGAGGTCACGCTTAGCATTTATTAGCGAAGGGTATTGCATGCTGTAGGGGCTAAGAAGGGATGCGAAATTCCAGCTGGGAAAACAGCCGGAGGAAGCAGCAGTGGAGAGATGGCACGTGGGGCGGGGGCCGAGGGGTTGGAAAGGCAGGATGTTTCACACGCACCACCGTGCTCCTCCCTCCTATAGATATTATATAGGGGCTCGAGGCTCCGTATGGAGCGGCGCGGCAGCGCATTCTGAGCACATCAAGGGATTAAAAACGCATTAAGACACGGTGTCCAAGGCAGTGCTTCTCAGCACAGAGAATGTGCATCTGTCACGAACACATACGCTCCGCAGAAGAGGCCAAGTAGCTCGCACACTATGTGGCATTTTTTTTTTCCCTTGGAACAGCTCGGGATAGATCCCAGACTGCCTTCCCAAGTGCACGAGGGCCACCGGCGCACAGCCCCAGAGCCGGAGCGCGGTCTGTGGGCCAGGCCACAGGGCTCCTCTGCTTCCATGTAATACTCATGTAAGGGCAGCCCACGCTCTGCCGAGGCTGTTGACTAAAACACGGGCCAGGGGACAGTGTGACGTCAGTCTGAAAGCCACCCAACATCCCCCCATCCCTTCCACATCTTTACAGCAAGTTGCATGAGAACATGCGCAGCTAAGACAGGTACAAACACCCTTCAAGACACTCGAGTCACCCCCAAGCTGTCTAGTCTCCTTGGGTTGATATTGCAGTTACCTCTTCATCCTCATCCTCATCTTCAACATCCAGGATACCCGAATCCTGCTCAGACATGGGGCTAGTGTTCTTTACCTCCAAATCTGAGCTTGCGCAGGCTTCTTTCTTGGACTTCTTTCCACTGCTTATCCTGGGGTGCTGTGATACAATATTGTCCAGGTTTCTTTGCTGCTGTGCCTAGAAAAAAAGCAGATTTCACGTTTTATGATAGCATCCTCAGACTTGCGTTTCTTTCTTTTTTTTTTTTTTCTCAGCCAAAAGATGCAATCGGACCTGAAATACGACAAATGAGGCAAAATAAAACACGCACTTAATGGAACTTTGAAATGTTATGTATTCCCTAACCCAGATATTCCAGAGAAACAGAAGATTCATTTCAAAACCATTTTAGTGATTATGCAACAACACAAACAATATTCTGACTCTTCACAAATCAAAATGCCAAACCCATCATACTGCCATATTGATCTATTTACAGCCCAGATGCAGAAATATTAGCCCATAGGCCATGTGGTGACTGTCACAGGCTAAATTAAAGGACCTACTTAACTGTTGGATTTGTTCCTCTCTTTTCAACCCGTGTCAGCACAAAACATTCCACATCTGGACCCCAGAGGTTCCTGAAAGCATTTCTGCGGGACCCCAGGAGATCTTAATTGCACGGTGCTCATTCGCAGAGCGATCTGCAAGAGGTCCCCGACCCACTGCTCGCAGCGGGAGCTCCCCGGGGCCACCGTTAGGGCGGCCTCCTCGACACCAGGTTTGCTCGTGGCTAGTGGACACGTCTGGCTACGGCAGCTCATCTTGGCTAGCGAGCACAGGGAAATCAGTGCCACTTTTGCAAGTGTCGTCCACGAAGGTCCAGGGGGAACCGCCTAGCGCCACCGTCCAAACTCTGGGTGCAAAATCACGTCTAACACGGGGGAAAAAGGTTGGGCCATCAAATTAGCTGCTTCTCTACATGAGGGCTTGTGCTCCACCGAAGGAAAAAATTAAGCATTCTGCCAACCTTGAATTTGTGCGGAGACACACACAGTTTGCAGGATCTCTCGCATATTCCTCTATACAGCAAGGGAGGAAGATGTATGGAAATCATCCAGACGCCTTTCTAAAAAGCAGTCAGTTTAGATGGCGCAGATATATCAAACATACACATATACAAGCGTGTGTGTATATATATATACACACACATATATCATTATATTTATAGAAATTTCCTATACAAGCCGAACTAAGCCTGTACCGGAGGGTTTGATGGCTCCTGTGCAGCAGTCGCACGCACAGCTCGACCACCAGCAAGGTGGCCAGAAGACCCATCCAACTTCACACAGAAGACGGAATCCTAGAGACCCTGTTGCAGGTGGCCAACGAAGCTGCCTCAGATGGCCCTTCACTTTCGGCTCCTGCACTGCTTTTGCTGCAGCAGTATGGGAGCAGAAAAGGGGTTGGAAAACCCAAATCAAAAGGTTTTCAAGGAGAAAACTGCTGGGCTCTGCAGCTCGGTCGGCGGCGGCAGCAGCAGCGCCGGTTGCAGGCCCCGTGGCAGCACAATCTTGACCTCTAGTGGCTGCAGAGCAGCAGCATCGCTCGGGTTCAACGCGGGAACAGCTCCGAGGACGGCCGAGCAGGCTCGAGGGAAGATCTCTTGAGGGACGAGCCTCAACAATAGGCGTTTCTGCAAGAAAGCCGCAGAAAAGGTCCGCGCTAGCGCCGCTCGGGAGGGCAGCACTCGAAGCAGTTGGGCAAACGGACTGTTTTCTGCATTAGGAATCGCTAACTTCAGAGACTCGACTCTATAGAAAGGCATTGCAACATCGCCTGAAAGAGAATTAGGACTTCAAAAAGGGGCAATGAGCGCTTGGTCCGTCTGAAGGCCACACAACAAAGAGATGCCAGGCTCGATTCGCCTCTCAGATACACCCATCCATGACATAAGTTACCCAAAAGAAGCGTAATGAAGCTGTAACACTGAATCCACTCTAAATGACACCAAAAGCAAGCCTGGCATCCTCATTAAAATCTCTCAGATTCATATAATCTCCCTTTTTTTCCTTCCTCCCTCTAGAGAAGGGAAAATAAAAGAATTGGGGAAAAAAAAAAAAAGCAAAATTCTGCATAAAACACAGACCCTGAAATGGGTCATTAACTGGGGCGTAGCAAGATCAGAGAGGAAAATGGAGCGGTCATGAGAGAGGAGACCGTCTCCGCACGCAGCCCAGGGGTGCCACGAGCTCTGCCGTCAGCTCCAAGCCTTCACACTCGGAATCTCAGCCCAAGCACAGGCTTGGTGTCAGCTGAGGCCCTTGCAGACGCGGTCTGCAAAGGCTTCTGTTGCTCCCCCAACTCTTTTCAAGCCAAGGCTGTTAATACCTGCCTCCTGCTCTGGGCTATGCCCTCAGGGACAGCGCGTAGAGCTCATGGTATCCAGTATTCCCGTGGCCCAGGAACTGGGTCCCTCTGGAAGAAGCTCTAGGTCAGGGAGTTCAGAGAGCAAACTCATAGCTTGTGTTTGGCTTTTATTTTTGTTGAGTAGTTTTAATTCAGTTCATGAACTGAAGTTTATCAGTAGAAGAATTTGGACATGAATTAAAACCCACAGATGTACTAGAAAAAAAAAAAAAGTAGAAAGAAGAAACAAAAGAAACGCTCCACATTGCAGCGATCCACCACGAGCAGCCAGAGAGACGCTCCCAACAACTTCCACTCCTCCGTCCAGGGAGAGGCAGATTTTACCTTTACCAATCGGGGGAAAAGCAAAATTTCGGCATAGTAAGATGTTATCCAGTGCTTCCTGCTCCAAAAGCCTGAGCCTCCTTCAAATAAAATAGAACCAATCCTTCAAATTGGAGACCCAAGAGGAGGTCTCCAGCCTGGGGTGCTCCCTGGAAGCCCATGGCCATGCCAGCCCAGGGGGTCAGGCTGAGCTGCAGCTACCAAGAGCTCCAAGGTGGGAAAGATGGGGCAATCTGAGCACGTCCCGGCATCGGGAGCGACGCAAGGAGCACGCCAGGAAAAGCAGGGATCGCTTTGGCCATCCCACCGCCCCCCTCTCCCGGCAGGGAGCAGGAAGGACTGAAGTGACCTAGAAGTGGGAAATGCCAAGTTTTCCTTAGCACCAGCAGGCTCGGGTGAAGTCACCGAGGTTTCAATTTCACCTGGCCAGAAGGGGGGAGCCAGGGAGAGGCACAGAGGAGGCCGCTAAGGAGGAATTTACACTTAACGGCCCCGGAGCTCCACAGTTTGTCACTGTCTCCCTCTGCCGCATGCCCAGGATGAGAAGCGACGTGAGGAGCCGGCGCTCCGGGGTTTCCGGGCTCTGTTTGGCGCGCGGGCATCCGTGGGGAGCCCTCCGGAGAACCCCGTGTTGGAAACCGCATCAAAGCGCAGGCGACAGCCCAGCGCGCCCTGTGCCAACCAGGCCAACCCAGCACGAGAGGCTTCCTTGAGGGACCAGGAGAAAATAAAACGAAGGAAAAATCCCCTCACCTTTTGGTGTGGTTTACATGAAAGCAAGTGCATTTTCTTATTATCCTGTCAAAGTGCCTCTATTACACAAGACTACGGATCTCTTGGCTCTCTGCTTAACGTGACATTTTAAAAAAAGAGAAGTTGGGCAACCCAACGCCTGCTCAGAGCCAACACTGCATTTAGCAAGAACACACAAAGCGCTGGGCTCCCGGAGCTGAAACTCCCTCCCTCCTTCCAAGCACAGTCGCATAACGAGCACCTGAGCTGGCCACCAATGGGACAGGACCCACGGCCTCCAAAAGTGACACCGAGGCCAGTCTGGACCATGGAGAAAGCAAACGAGCCTTCTGGATAACCTGCTGCTTTGGATCTGGGCCAGGGACCTACTTTTGTGGAAGTAACAGCACCATGGGCTGGTCAAGGGACACCAAGAAGCTTCTGTTGGTTTTAGTAGTCAGTAGCTTTTCTTGGCGGAATGCACCAAGAAGGATCAATCTCTTGCTGCTGCTGCTTGAGAAAGGGAGGATCAAAATAACGAGGAAAATGAAGTAGCTTCATTACGTGTTTTCCATCCCTAACCATCAGCCTGTTACGTGACTTCCATGCTGTTCTGCCCAGAGCTCAATCCTCAGGGCTTTTCATCAAGTCTGACATTCAAGAGTTTTAAACACAAGTCCCTGTTTTCCAGCCCATCCCCACTTTGCAGCTTTCCAGGCGAAACTGTGGAGTCCCAGCCCGACGTTCACAAGCCATCACTTGGCTGAGCCACAAGCAGCCAAGCAAGAGCAATGAAGGGTACCAGCCCAGCATGCTGGCGAGAAGCAGAAGCTGGATTAAGCAGAGCAGCAGGACTGCTTGCGATTGAGTGAACATATCCCAAATTCCGCACACACATTCCGAGCAATGAAGCTGCAGATTCAAGCCGACTCGCAGAGCGGGCAGGGGTTCCTCTGAGCTTGAGCTCCAGAAACCACGTCCTTCAGCAGAGAAAGCAGGCAGGCCACCTACGCGGGCAGCAGCCCGCTTGAAAAGGGAAAAAAATCACATGGGTTTTATAGGGGTTTTATGGCTGTCTTATTTTTTGGCACTGGTGTGTCGATGTTGACAGGGCGCATGTCTTACCTCCAGTCACCTCCACCCACCAGCGAGCTGCCAGTATTTACTTTTAAGAAGAATCTAATTAGCTCTTTCCTGATGAGCCGGTAGATAAGTGCCGGCGAAGGCGGGTTGGTCGTGCAGGCAGTGCTGCCGTGGTCGGCGTCAGTGGTTTTGATTAGCGGCAGAGCGCTCGCTGCTCCCCTTGTTTTATAGACCCCTCTAATGGGCTGCGACGCACAACTTGAAAATATCGTTCCCCCATATCCCCAGGAATGGGATACATATTCCTTAAGCAGCATTACAAAAAGCAGACTGGCTACAGGGGAAGAAAAAAGGAAAGTTAATAAAAAATGACAGTAGGGCTGGCTCGCAGCCAGAGATCCATTTGAAAGTTATAAAACTCCTCTCAGATCAGATAAAAGCGTCTATTATTATTGCAAGGTGTAAACTCAACACGCCGACACGGCTTCTGTTTTGAGTTTTAACAAAAACCCCGGCGCTTGTCAGGATGATAAGAGGCTCTGCCCTCCGCTCGTGCGGAGTTAACTGGAGCTCTCACGGCCCCGCGTGCCCGAGGGCCCCAGCAGCAGAGCAAACAGGGCCCGGGAGCA